TTTTAGGATGAAGTTTCTATACATCAACCTCCTCACTCCGCTTTTGTTTCTCAAATAGCAAGTCTGCAAAACGAGCTCACCAATATTAATAAAAATTTGGGTGACATCGAGCTCATAGGTGAACAGGATGGTACAATAATAAAACAATCAGAGTTGGGAAAAAAATTGATCCATCAATTGCAAACATTTAAAAATATTGGATTGCCAAAGGAGAACGGAAAATCAGAAGAGAACCATGAATCATCTAATGAAGTTTTGACCGAGCCTGCCACTGGAAAAAACGTGAGTAATTTTATTCAGTGTCACGGTTATTCACCGTTTTTTGGTTCTCTTTCTTTTTCCTAAGTACTGGTCATTATTTAGATGGTTACATACGAATTATACTATTCTCCTGAAACCACGAAAGTTCATACATTAGCCAAAACGACTGAACTCGATGAGCGCATTTCCTCCTTGGAGAAACTTGTCGGCACCGCACATGGGCAAAATTTTGAGGATCTTGTGAGAATTTAAATTACATTTGTTATTTTGTTTACTATTTCATCATCAAATTTATTGCTATACCTTCATACTAAATTCTTCACAATTTGTCCATTGAAGTCAATTTCGATAACAAATACCAACCTTATTACTGCAGTGGATAAGTTGGATCAACACATGCAAATTTTAGCACAACCGCGTCATTTGGAGTCGGTTTCTAGAAAGGCGAAAACCTTGGTCGGAGAACTGGAAAAAGTGAATGAATTAAAGAATAAGGAGCTTTCTAATGGAGGTGTCATCGCTTTTGAGACTGAAGAAAAGGTTATTATTCCTTGGGATTAAACGTCGTCAATTTGATACCCACACCTTCCCTTTCTTAAATGAATCTTCTTCTATTCTACTTGTTGGTAATAAACGGCGCAAATTAGATCAACTATCTATTTGCCCTCTTAGACAAAGTTGACCCACTGATGTCCATTGCACCAGCCTTGGTCAACCGTTTGAAATCATTGCAGCAATTACATCAGGAGGCCACGGTATTCGGCGAAACCGTTAAAATGTTGAACGATGGACAAAACAAAATTAGCGAGGAACTAAAGAGTCTACAAGAAGTATCCGGAAATGTAGGTTTTTTTAAAAAAAGATTATTTTTCTCAATACTTATTATTTTTATTTAAAAAAAATCTCTATTTTAGCTGGAGAAATCCTTCGAAGAAAATAATGCTGCTATCGAGAAAAATATCAAGATTGTGGATGATCGCATAACCGATCTTACTCAACGTTTAGATAAATTAACAGTTAAAAATTAGATAAATTATTTTTACTGTTTGAAATAAGATACAAAACATCTTATTTTTTTATTTTCAAATTAATAATGGTAGGTACATGCACTTTTTAAACACTAATAATCGAGTAGTACTCTACTGCATATCACCTTTTGTATTGATTATTTATAAAGGCCGTATATTTATTTTTTTTTAATGAAGAAATCAGTATTTGGTTGGTTTGTTTTTTTAGAGGTGATAACGATGTTTACTTAACGCAATGATGCTACACGATTTATTTCAGTATCATCATATCTCAAATGCAACGTCAAATATGTTGATAAATCAACTCCGAATCATTGTTAATTATAAGTCCTCTAAGATAATATTATTTTACTATCAATCGATATATTTAAAAAATTCTTTTTTCTAGATTGAAACCTAACAATGAATATAAATTAAAACTAAATTTTATTTTTATAATAATGTTTAAATTTTATAAGTTAATATTAATTAAATTCTTTTATAATAATAATAATAATAAACAAATAAATAAATACTTAAATAAATCAGTTTTTAATTCCAAGTTAGCATTTTGGTTTTTACACAATATCAATATCATTGTTAATTTTTACATTTATTTAAAAAGAAAAGAATTGACATATTACTTTATAGTTTTTATATAATAACATTTACAAATATAATTGCATTTTATTTATAGATATTTTTTGTTTATTCAATAGTTTCAAATAATGAATACTTAATATAATTAAAAAAATCTTTAAAAAAGTAAATATATTCTTTAAACAATTAATATTTTTCTAGTTTTTTTTTCAATTAATATTTTTAAAAATCAGTTTTTAATAATTTTATTATATTACAAAACATCAAGTTCAATTCAAATAAAGATATTGAACTGTATTAAAATAATATCTGATATTATAACTTATTAAGTATTATTTTTTATAAAAAGTTGATTTATATAGTGATTTAAGACTCTTAATAATATTATTTTGATACTAGTTTAATACTTAAATTACTATAAATTTATATAAATAGATTACAATTTATATATTAAATTTAATATAGATCAATATCATTTCAATATTAGTTTAATATTAATTTAATATTTTTCAGAGCTTTATACTGATTCAATAGAAATTAAAATTGTAATATTAAAAGATAATACAGTATTCAGTTTTAATTAGTAAGTTTAATGATTACTTCTTATAATATATAATATTTTTTTTATAAAAATCTTATTAAAAATTTATTCCAATTCAATAATAAGCTATTCTAATAATATCTATTTTAAAAAAACATTTGGCAATAAGATTTATATAATAATAAAAATCAAATAGTTACTCTAGTTACAAATAGAGCTTCAAATAGGATTCTGAACCAAGTACTAAAATGGTACAAACTTGGTACCAACTTATAATAAAGTTAATATATGAATTGTGACCCATTATATTAAACTTATAGCAAATTCAGTATCAACTTGGTATCAAAATAGTATTATTAGAAACCCTAGCTCTGAAAAGTATCAAACTGATATCAAACTGGTATCAAAATGGTACTAATTTATAGTAAATTTAGTATATGGATTGTGACCTACACATATGATTTTATAGTAAATTTAAGTATCGAACTGGTATTGAAATAGTATTAGTAATAAACTGATTGTAAAAATTTTTATAATTGTTTTATTTATTAAAAATAAATATTATTTTCATTGTTTTTTTTTTTTTTTAATATATTTTTTCAAATAAAGCTAAAATAGATTTTTATACAAGTTAATAGAATTAATTAAAGCCTTAATATATTGGTTTAAGTTTTTGTTTTTAAATAAATTGATAATAACAATTTGATATATTTGAATATAATATATTAAATTTAAATGTAAAAAAACTTTTTCCCACTCCCCCTTTCTACGCTTGAAAATTTCCTTTTTAGGAAATTCTTGAGTTGTTTACTCTTTTTTCGTCTTCCCTTTTCCCTTTTCTCTATGTCCCTTCCCCATAACTCTTTATTTCCCTTCCCCTATCTTCTCCCCTCTCTTTTATATACTTTTTTCTTTTACTTTTACCCCTCCCTTTCTTTTTCCCTTTTTTTCTCCTGCCGAAGCTAGGTTTTTCCCTTTTCCCTGAAGGTTTTCCTCCCTAGGCCTCTCTTTCTTTTGAAAACTCCGCCTTCATAACATCACTCCTCTGGCCAATGGACTCTCTTTTCTCAGGAACTATATAAGAAGTGGCAAGGCTTTCACAGTGACGTGGGCTATGGAAAGTTTTCCCTCCATGGCTCCTCAGAAAAAGGACGGATGGCTTACCCCCTCCAAAAGATCAA